GAATTCTTCCCACAGGTACTAATACACAAATATATAGAGTTCAAGGTCCCCAAAACAGAAAATATGAATTGCTTAGTATTTTTTTGTTTGTTTCTTGGTTTTATTGTTAAAGGGGCACCCTCACCATTGCCACCTATGTTCTCAGTCTCATGCCTAATGCTACAGGGCAGATGGCACCAAATTTTGGCTGCTGATTTAGGATAATTTTAGTAACATCTTTGCCAGCTCTCAGGATATGGTCTCTTAGCTGGTTCCACAAGTGAGTCCTGAACCAGCCATAATGCCATTCTAGTAAGCCAAGTGCTTCTGGGTTATGAGACATGTGACAAGCAAATCTGGTAGTAGTGAATCCACTTCCATAAATACTGTGTCACAAAATGTGACCCTGATCTGAACTGAGAATCAGAAGTGCTAGACATTCTGTCAATATAGGTAAATATTGGTAGAAACAGTGCAGACAGGCAATATGTGAAAACAAATCTTTCTCTCTGGTGAAAGAATGATTCAATGTAATGAATCTATCTACAGTTGACTGGCTAATCCAACATAGTGCTATAGTGGGGGCTCATCACTGGCAGGTAGGGTGCTTCATTCTGTAGGAAGCCATGCAAAGCCAACCATCTCTCTTTTTAAGTAACATGAACAGTTACTGCTTGAACTTAGGCCTACTTGAACATTTTTTTGTTTGTTTTGAGTCAGTGTCTTACTATTTTGCTCAAGCTAGCTTCAAACTTGAAATCCTTCTGCATCAGCCTCCCAGGCAGCTGTTATTGCAGGAATTAGCTATCATGTTCAACTTCCACTTGGTCTTTTTTTTTTTTTTTTTTTTTTATTGTTGGCTGTTCAAAACATTACATAGTTCTTGATATATCATATTTCACAATTTGATTCAAGTGGGTTATGAGCTCCCATTTTTACCCCATATACAGATTGCAGAATCACATCAGTTACACATCCATTGATTTACATATTGCCATACTAGTGTCTGTTGTATTCTGCTGTCTTTCCTATCCTCTACTATCCCCCCTCCCCTCCCCTCCCCTCCCCTCCCCTCCCCTCCCCTCTTCTCTCTCTGCCCCCTTTACTGACATTCGTTTGTCCCCCTTGTATTATTTTTCCCCTTCCCCTCACTTCCTCTTGTATGTACTTTTGTATAACTCTGAGGGTCTCCTTCCATTTCCATGCATTTTCCCTTCTCTCTCCCTTTCCCTCCCACCTCTCATCCCTGTTTAATGTTAATCTTCTTCTCATGCTCTTCGACCCTACTCTGTTCTTAGCTACTCTCCTTATATCAAAGAAGACATTTGACATTTGTTTTTTAGGGATTGGCTAGCTTCACTTAGCATAATCTGCTCTAATGCCATCCATTTCCCTGTAAATTCTATGATTTTGTCATTTTTTAATGCAGAGTAATACTCCATTGTGTATAAATGCCACATTTTTTTTATCCATTCATCCATTGAAGGGCATCTAGGTTGGTTCCACAGTCTAGCTATTGTGAATTGTGCTGCTATGAACATCGATGTAGCAGTGTCCCTGTAGCATGCTCTTTTTAGGTCTTTAGGGAATAGACCGAGAAGGGGAATAGCTGGGTCAAATGGTGGCTCCATTCCCAGCTTTCCAAGAAATCTCCATACTGCTTTCCAAATTGGCTGCACCAATTTGCAGTCCCACCAGCAATGTACAAGTGTACCCTTTTCCCCACATCCTCGCCAGCACTTGTTGTTGTTTGACTTCATAATGGCTGCCAATCTAACTGGAGTGAGATGGTATCTTAGGGTGGTTTTGATTTGCATTTCTCTGACTGCTAGAGATGGTGAGCATTTTTTCATGTACTTGTTGATTGACTGTATGTCCTCCTCTGAGAAGTGTCTGTTCAGGTCCTTGGCCCATTTGTTGATTGGGTTGTTTGTTCTCTTATTGTCTAATTTTTTGAGCTCTTTGTATACTCTGGATATTAGGGCTCTATCTGAAGTGTGAGGAGTAAAGATTTGTTCCCAGGTTGTAGGCTCTCTATTTACCTCTCTTATTACAGAACCCTAAAGAGAGAAATAGAAGAAGATCTTAGAAGATGGAAAAATATACCCTGTTCATGGATAGGCAGAACTAACATCATCAAAATGGCGATATTACCAAAAGTTCTCTATAGGTTTAATGCAATGCCAATCAAAATCCCAACGGCATTTCTTGTAGAAATAGAGAAAGCAATCATGAAATTCATATGGAAAAATAAAAGACCCAGAATAGCAAAAACAATGCTAAGCAGGAAGTGTGAATCAGGCGGTATAGCGATACCAGACTTCAAACTATATTACAGAGCAATAGTAACAAAAACAGCATGGTACTGGTACCAAAACAGGCGGGTGGACCAATGGTACAGAATAGAGGACACAGAAACCAATCCACAAAACTACAACTATCTTATATTTGATAAAGGGTCTAAAAGCATGCAATGGAGGAAGGATAGCATCTTCAACAAATGGTGCTGGGAAAACTGGAAATCCATATGCAACAAAATGAAACTGAATCCCTTTCTCTCGCCATGCACAAAAGTGAATTCAAAATGGATCAAGGAGCTTGATATCAAATCAGAGACGCGCCGTCTGATAGAAGAAAAAGTTGGCTACGATCTACAGTCGGTGGGGTCGGGCTCCAAATTCCTCAATAGGACACCCATAGCACAAAAGTTAATAACTAGAATCAACAAATGGGACTTACTCAAACTAAAAAGTTTTTTCTCAGCAAAAGATCCACTTGGTCTTTTGAATAAGGCTTTAAATTCTACTTCTGGCTCTTGGTAGTGTATCTTGCTGACCTAGTTATAGATTAAGCCCATGATTTTGCCTTCTCTTTTAATGATGGGCATCTGCTCACTGTCATAAAGAGTTGTGAGAGAGGCAGCAAAAGGAGCACAATACATTGGCATTCTGAAACACCTGCTTGTGCAGTTTACTTGTTCTTTCTAAACCTATTCAATGAAGTATTGCTGTGAATATCCTACTTGATGGTTTGTGGATCAGATAATATCTATTTCATGATGAGACATTCAGGTCAAGGTTGCTTAATGTTTCACGGTCAAGTTTACCTTTACTAGGACAAGTTTTGAGCCAGAAGTTGTAACGGAATACCTGGCACATTATTCAGAGAAACTTGTCATATGTTGCCTTTAATATCCAAATATGGCCTTCAAACATATAATTCCATTTTATTATAGTGGGATACATGAAATACAGAAATATGTGTCTACTTTTATAAGAGTACCTTGATAGGATGCCAACCACTGCACCCAAATGAACTTAACTGCTGTGGTAGATTACTAAGTGTTATGGATTTTACTTCCTACTCTCCATAATACATATATTTTACTAAAACATTTGCACATCAATTTACTGTACATCAATACAGTGGAGCCATATATGCTGTGTGGGCTATAAAGACAATCTCTCTGGTATAGTATAGCAAGCAGATGGGGAGAGTTGACATAGGCATAAGGATGAGTGTAGCACTTACTGATCCCCTATGATTTTACCTTTACTGAAGGCAAACTACTTTTGGTTGTTTTTATTACTTATGGATTAAAAAAAGGAAATTACTAGGTCAGTTTCTGCATACCAGTTTCAGAGACCATGTTGATTTTTCCCAGTAAAGATACTGTATTGCAAATATCCACCAAATTAGTTTTGCATTTATTCTCCATCTTTCACTTGGCTTTTGTATACAGGCGAGTTAAATGATGATGTTATATGTATCAGTAATCCTATAATGTCAAACTTTGATGATAATACTAGTTTATATAATATCCCTAGGAAAATCATATTACTTTTGATTTATCATCTTGGGAGCATTTTGGGTCTTCCTATTGCCCTCCTCATCATAATAGTTCTCAGTTCCATTTGTTAGGGACCAATATGGGAATTGTTTCATATTTTTATTCTAGCCATAATTCTGGAATTTATGAAATAATAATAGGCTATATCTTCAGCTCTTTTATAAAATATTTATTTATTTATTTAGTTTTAGGGGTACACATATCTTTATTTTTATGTGGTGCTAAGGATAGAACCCAGTGCCTCATGCATGCTAGGCAAGCACACTACCACTGAGCCACAATCCCATCCCCATCTGCAGTTCTTTTGTATCCACTCTTAGGTGGATTTGAAACCAGGTCCTTTGAACACCTGATCTCCTTAAGCCAGTATTTTTGCAAGTTGACTTAAAAACTTTATTATCACTATTGACACATTAGCAATTAAATGCCTTTACTTACCTGACAAATTTGCTCGCACCTATATCTTATTCTATGCCAACTTTGGTCTTAATTTGAGAAATCCTGATGTATTGCATACCATGTAAATTTACCAATATTACCAGTATCTTATTTCTCCTGGGTAAGAAAGTTATCTGTGCACTGATTTGATGTGATCAGCCTAATTTAGGAATGCTGTCTAGAGGGTCTATATCTATTTTATGTGGCTTCTTCTGCTAACAATCACTGTGTCAATGTGGGTCCTAGAAGGAAGCAGAAAACACACTCACATTGAGTAATTTTGTTATTTGGCCACTTCATGGGCTAGTAGGAGATCATGTAGATATCTAATCCTACATAAATACCAGAGTTGTTGTATGAAATTGAATGAATTAAAGACTATGGTTCATATAGCCAAAAGTCTAATGAAAATTTTTTCATTAAAATAGTCCTTTTATATAGTTATGGTAGCTACTTAAGAATTTTGTTAGGTGTTCAATTGTTACATTATAGTAAGAATTTTGTTAGGTGTTCAATTGTTACATTATAGTAAAGATTAGCATTGACTCAATGTTCCTGTATCTCAGTGAAATTTCATAAGAGTTTTAGCATCTCTTCTCTCCAAGGAAACATATCTCTCTGTCTTTAAGTATTGTATACGAAAAACAAATGTTCAGAATTATAAAAGTTTTATATTTTTCTAACCACTATTCAAAGAAATACTTTTCATTTAAATTTTTTGTTGTTACTATAGTATCCCAAGGGCATAACTTTGGATGCGTTTTCAGTTATTTTTGCCCAAATGCTGGGACTCAGTCTGGGAATATCATATGATGATCCAAAGAAATGTCAGTGTTCAGAAGCCATCTGTGCAATGAATTTAGAAGCTATGTAAGTTTTTAAAATAGATTTATTTATTGGTTATGTTTATTCTGTTTTAAATATAGTACTTATAGCTCAAATTAGCTATAAAGGGATAAAGTTCACTATAAAACATGAACATGTAAGAGTAGTATGGAATGAGGTATACCATTAAAGACAATCAAGGATAGCAAATTAAGTCAAGGATAGCAATTAAAATATGTATCAGCAAGGGTATTTTTTGTAGGATATGTATTGTATGAAAGCAATGAGTAAGGATCTTTAAAAATATGTTAGAAAGCTACAACACATTTTTTTTCCTTTTAGGTAGAATTTTTAGAATTTTAGAATTTTTAGAATGAGAAGTCTTAGTATGAGACCACTATCAAATATATGATGTTTGTGTAACTTTAAAAAAATTCTTTAACCTTGTTTAGACTTACTTTTCTCATCTTTGTGAATAATTATTCCTATTCTCTTATTTTTAAGGGTGATATAAGAACAAATGAGAAAAAATTGTAGAACCTATAAGTATGTGATGGTAATTTCTAAATTTACCAGTATTCCCAAAATAATTCATTAGACAAGAGCACATGTTTTTAGTATATTACAGTTTTTGTTTGTAAAAATGGCCTATGATAAGTTTGACTTAGTCATTACTAAATTACTAAAGAACTACTAAAAAATTGAAAGTTAGACTAGGTGTTAATTTTTGAACACATATTCTTTATTAAAGTTACTTCTAAGTACCATCTAAGGGTTAACTCATATGTTCTATAAATAGAACAGTTAAAAACATATACTTGTATATACACATATAATTATATTACAGATTATCTCCAAAAGGTATACTAACACATACACATACAACATGTTGTCCTTATATGGATATATTACTTATAGTATATATGTCATCCATCTGGATGGATAAATGGACTGTACATGTATATCAAAAAATATGAGAATTACTCTTCATTTGGCCTATGCTTAAATATGCTATGAATAAATGTTTTCTGTAGATCACCCAGAGTTAATGATAATAATGTTAATGATAATAAAGATAATATATATTTACATTATACTTAATATGTGCTAGAGACCATTCCAAGAACTTTATACTTTTAATTTATTTGATTCTTACTATAACCCTATAGTTCAGGTTCTGCTATTTCCATTCTTATATTTAAGAAACTTGAGTTATAAAAAAGATAATTACATATGGTCAGATAGCTAGTTTGTGGCCAACCTGGGTTTTGAATCTGTATTATTAATAAACCTTTATATTTGTATGGTACTTTGTGATGTTTAAAATACTTTCATATATAATCATCAATTTCTCACAAATATCTTGTGTTTATCTTGCTTTTTACGAAACCTAAAAATACTATATATATATATATATATATATATATATATATATATATAGACACTTTTGCATTTCTCATACATTATTATATGTTAGCTCTTAAAAAAGGCATGGAGGTAAGACAAATATTTCCATCTAATTTGCTTTTTAAAAAAGTCCCTGGGATACAAAAAGCCTAAGTGAGAGTACATTGGATGCATGGTTAATTAGCTGCCAAATCTCGATGTATTTTATGCAAGAAATTAGTAAGGATCTTTAAAACTATGTTGGCAGGCTATAACAATTTTTAAAAATATTTTAGGCAGAATTTTAGTTTTTCTTTTAGGTTAGTTTGAGGTAGAAACTATTATGCAAAGAATGAGACGTCAATATCAATAGCACCAATAATCTTCAATATGTTAATAAAACCAGAGAGTTGAATTAGGTACTTCACTTATTTGATAATATTCAATTCTCACAACAGCCTTATGAGGTAAATGACATTGTTTTCCCTATTTTTTAGGTAATAAAATGAAATAGTTTTGAATTAAAATTTTTCTTAAAATTTCAATTTTGAAGATACAATCAACAAAATTTAAAGTTCATAGTAAAATAATATGTAACATTAGTATTTCAGGAAATATTTTATTGAATTATGTAATGTTAAAAAAAATGAATTGTTGGGTAAAAATACCTGAACTTGAAGTCATAAATAATGGTGTGATCAATGTCTCCTCATTCCCCTCCCCAGTTCTCAGCCCTTGGTAACCACCATTCTACTTTGCTTTTTTGTATGTAGATCTGGGTCCCATGTGCAAATGTTCTAAAATCTGAAAAAATCCAAAATCTGAATACTTCTCTAGCTTCGTGGATAAGGGATACTCAACTTTCATTTGCATATAACTTATACACATCCTTCTATAAACTTCAAATCATCTCTAGATTAGTTAAAATACTGAACACAAAGTAAATGCTGCATAAAAAATTGTCATATTGTATTGTGTAGGGAATAAATACAAAACAAATTCTGTGCATGTTCAATACACACAAGCTTTTAAAAATATTTTCTACCTGAGCTTGGTTGGCTCTGAGGATGTGGAACCTACAGTTCCATATATACAGCTGGAAGGCCAACTGTATATACCACACTTGCTTTATCCATTCATCCATTGCTGGACATTCAGTCTGACTTCCTACCTTGGTTATTGTAAATTTGTACAGAATGGAGACAATAGTTAATAAAGTGCCAATACTTGAAAATTTCCAAGACAGTAGATTTGAAGTGTTCTTGCTATAGCAGAATATAAGTAGGTGAAGTGAGGAACATGTTAGTTTTATTTAAGCATTCCACAATTAATGTATGTGACAAAATACCATATTTTACCACACAATTATATGTACAATTTAAAAAATTGTGAATACTTATTCTTTGATTTACAAACTCTATGACTTTTGAGGTTTTTAGCATCTCACCTACTTCAATTTCTTGAAAATGTCGATAACACCAGCCTCCTTCGTTAGTGGTGTAGATTAAATAATCACATGTATTAAGTATGTGGCTCATAGTAGGTGTTCAATAAATGGTAGTTTCCTCCTTGCTTTATAGAATTGTACTGTGCCCATATTGATTCATCCTTTGGAAGTATTCTCTAAAGTATCCTTATTAGTGTTATATAGGTAAAAGTACATAAAATTTTGATAAATGCACATTTTCTTTGAGGTCTTTGAGGAATTTCTGTACTTAGCACAGTATAACTTGTTTAATAAAGTTTGTCATTAATTTGGTATAACTTTTTATTTGGATCAATTTCTACTCAAGTCCTCTGTTTTTTTTAATTGGTAGGTTAAATTTACTATTATTTTTGCTAATTGTTTGTACTTAATTTTAATAAAAAATATATATTCCAGTGGAGTCACATGACCTCCTCACAAATAATTATGAACATTTCTTTTTTAAAAAATATTATTTTTAAGTTTTAGGTGGACACAATATCTTTATTTTACATTTATGTGGTGCTGAGGATCAAACCCAGTGCTTCGTGCATGCTAGGCGAGCACTCTACCATTGAGCCACAACTTCAGCCCAATTATGAACATTTCTTATGAACATTTGTTGTTTCCTATTAAATTTAACATTTGAATGTAACTTATATGATATAGAATATGTTTTCTGAAGTGTACTGACCATGACATTATATGAATCACCTTTAGGCAAACCACTGGTGTGAAGAGTTTTAGCAATTGCAGTATAAGGGCTTTCAAAAATTTCATTGAAAGTATGGGTGCCAAATGTCTTCAGAATAAACCTCTAATGCAATTAAATCCAAGACCAGTTTGTGGCGATGGCAAAGTGGAGGGAAATGAAGCCTGCGATTGTGGTACTGAAGAAGTAAGTCTGATAACTAAAAAAATTGATGAATAAATTTTTTAATTTTAGTTAAATCTTGTTTTGTAAATGTTATATTTCTCAAATATGTCTGAGTATCATGTAGAACACTGATAGTAAGTGAATCGTGTTGAAGTTCATAAAAGAAAATACTGTCTAGGTTTTACAGGTTGAAAATTCTTGAACAAATTTAAAATGTAATGCAAAATCTATTGATGATGGGTAAAGAGGAATTTAGAATAAGCATTTTTATTCCAACCAAATATGTGTTTCCAAATCTTTGCTCTTCCTTCAGCTATTTTATATACATTTATTGAAGATTAATCTCTCAGCAGTATGCCATGTGTCCCTGATTACAAGGCAGAAATGACATTAGGGCTTGGCACATACATGGGTCTGAATTACTTGTATGCACCATTGTATTCTTTTAATTACTATGTTTTACCCTGTGGTAGAATGAGTCCTTCCTCTTTACTCTTATTTCTATTAAAAAGTTTTATTGAGGTACAGTCTACAAGTATTAATATGCACCCATTTTAAGTGGACAGGTTGAACTTCAACAAATGTATATAACTACTGTACAACTAAGACAGATTATTTTCATCATTCCCAAAGTTTGCTTATGCTTCTCTAGTATTTCCCAGTTCTGCTTCTGATTTTTTCGGTTTTCTTTGATTCTGGAAATCATTAAAATGGAATGATATAGCATGTATTATAAAGCATTTTTGAGATTCATTCATGTTGTTGCATGTCACCATAGTTTTGTTTTATTTTGAGTGATATATCATTTTTTTGGATATACCACAATATTTTTCCATTCACCTGCTAATGGACTTTTGAGTTGTTAAAAATATTGGTCCATTATCCTTGATTCCTAAGAGTAGAATTGCTGTGTCCTATAGTAAGTGTTTATAAGAAATTGCAAAATATTTTACAAAATTGTTATGTCATTTTATACTCCTGTCAGCAACATAAAACTGTTAGTTCCTTTATATCTCATCACCACTTGATGTTGTCAATCTTTTCAGCAGTTTTGTCATGTTTTTATTTGTATTTTCTTGATGACATTAATGAAGAAAAGCATATTCTTTTGTCGTTATTGGTCATTTATTTCTTAATTTTATTTTTAATTGAAAAATAATCTATTTATAGGATACAATGTGATGTTTTGGCATATGCTTACATTTGGGAATTTTAATCGAACTAGTTAGCAAATCTATCACTTCACATACTTATGTTTTTGTGATAAGAACATTTAGAATATACTCTTTCATGTAGTTTTTACAGGGCAGAATAATTAGCAAGAAATGTTCTGTTTATTTGCCTGAAAATATTTTAACTTAATATTCATATTTAAAAGGCATGTTCATTATTTGTAGAATTATGAACTAATAATTTTTTCTTTTGTTTCCTTAAAGAGGAGATTTTATATTCTTCATGCTTATTTTAGTTCTGATCAAAAGTCAGTAGTAATCATCACTATTATTTTCTTGTGCATGAATTTTTTTTTTCTGGCTGTTTTCAAAATATTCTTTTTAGCTTTGGTTTTAGCAGCTGAACAAGATGTACATGTGTATAGTTCTATTGATATTTATCCTGCTTGGACTTAGATGAGTTTCCTGGATGTGTAAGATTTTAGTGTATTTGGTAACATTTGGTAAAATTTCAACAAAAACTAACTTTACCCTCTCACCTTTTCCTAGTTTTTAACTCCAATCACACACATATTAGAGTGTTGATATTGTCTTACGATTAGTGGGGACTCTGATTTTTTCCTTTTCCTTTATTTCTGTTTGAGTATTTTTATTACTGCTTCTTCAAGTTCACCTGTTTATCTGCAGTGTCTAGTATATTTTAAACCTGTGCAAAAATGTCTTCTATGTAGAAATCTAGAGCTCTTTTCTTAGGTGTCTCACTGTTAACAATAATCTGTTCCACTAATTCAGTGACTTCAGCCATCTCTGTATTTTTAAGTCACTGAGATCATCATGGTCTGATACTATTGGAAAATGCCTCCATTTATTTTCCTGGTTTTCTATTTGGATAGGAAGATAAGTGGAATATCAGATACTCTGTTATAATCTAAAGTAAAAGTCTTACACTAATGTTTAAAAAATGTTTAGGAATGCTAAAATTAATAAATGTTGGTAACATTCATTTCCTTCCTCAAAATTAAGAACAAGCTCAGAGAATGTAGCTTCTATCAAAATTTTTATTATCACGGGCTGGGGATGTGGCTCAAGCAGTAGCGCGCTCGCCTGGCGTGCGTGCGGCCCGGGTTCTATCCACAGCAGCACATACAAACAAAGATGTTGTGTCCACCGAAAACTAAAAAATAAATATTTAAATTATCTCTCTCTTTAAAAAAAATTTTTATTATCATGTATTTTTACTTGTGAATTCCATTCATTTATAGCAATGTGGTCCTGCTAGCTGCTGTGATCCTGCAAACTGTATTCTGAAACAAGGATCGCAATGTGACACAGGACCATGCTGCAGTAACTGTCAAGTAAGATTTAAGTTGACAAAAATTTTACAAGCACATTGAATCATGTATAGGATACATTAGGACATGTAGAGCTATAGTTAAGTCAGGATAAGTGACCTTAATAAATAAAGAGATAATAAATTCAGAATTATATTTCTGATCTAGTACACTTTTGTTAGGTGTTGTGATCACTTTCTAATGCTAATTTCCCCACTAACCTGATGCAGTTGTTTTTAAGCCTTGATTTACAGTTATTATAAAATTCTTCAATATAGAAGATCTTCACTGAAAGGAACAATTATTCTTTCACTCTATTCAATATTTAGGGTTTTATAAATAAAAAAATGTTACTGGTTGTGATAAGTATCTGTACACATGCAGTTGAAAATTACATTAATTTTCCATACATGTTTAAGAAATAGAAGTCACTAAATGGTACAGTTTACAAATAGTGCCTAAAGAAAAAAATTTAAACTGTGAATTTTTTATTCAAAGATCATTTGACTAAAAAAAGTCACATTTTAGCTTATGTGGTAAAGATGTTGACTGCTGTTCCATTTTGTTCTTTTCAGTTCTTCAAATACATTTTTAACAAGATTCCCATAAGAGAATGTCTCTGTTGAACTATCTACCATGGGCCCTGTCTTATTGACTGTCTTTAATTGACTGTGCTTAATTTATGTTTTTCCTAGAATGTTTTCATTCTAGGTTACATTCTTAGTCTGTAATAATCTTAGTGTTGACTTGAAATAATCAAGTATGATAGGTGCTCACTTGACTCTTTACATATGTTTTCAGAATTTTATATATGCAACAATTAATATAATTATAATAATATTATATAATTCAGGAGAAATATAATTCAGGAGAAAGACTGTAGTGCTGCTTCTTCATTAATATCCCCCAAGGTTGAACTGCTTCCATAAATCATTCTTCTGTTTCCCTTCCTTCATTCTCAGTTATTTATGTTTCATGTTTATCAAAGAATGTTTGTAAGTATTGTGGTATGTTTGTAAGTATGGAATACTTACAAATAGCGGTTTCAATTCATACATATATAATATTTGGAAATTGACTTTTAATTAAAATATTTTTTTTCAAAAGAAATCATTTTCCAAGGCTAAATGTGATTTTTTTTTTGTTCCTTGTACTGAAAGCACAAAAAAATTTTGGCTTTCATTATATCCACTTTTTCTTATATGTCTCATCTCCTGTTTTAATTGATAGCATTCAATTAATTATTAATGTTGGAATAATGATTTATACTAAAAAATGTCTTGGACAATGAATAAAAATTATAAATAATTGACACACTTTTGAAATATTGACAAATACAACAATGTTACATGAAATACTTTTCTTTTTATATTTTAATTTCTATTAGTTGTCAGCAGCAGGTACTACATGCAGACCTGTAGTACACCCTGAATGTGATATAGCTGAGGTTTGCAATGGAAGTTCACCAAGTTGTCCACAAGACATATTTGTACAAAATGGACATACTTGCAAACAAAATAAGTTTTTTTGTTATGAAGGAGACTGTCATGATCTGGATGCAAAGTGTGAAGTCTGGTTTGGAAAAGGTAATTTTTTGGTTACATCTAAATAGTTGGCCTTCACAATTGCTATTAATATTACCAAGTCTATATATGCTGCATGTATATGTATATATATAAGCATATATATTTTATATATATGTAAAATATTATCAACATATATATTAATTTTTCATCTTTATTGAAGTACAGTTGACAAAATTGTATATCTTTAGGTATATAAGACTTGATGTTTTCATGTATGTATACATTGTGAGATATTTACCACAATCAAGTTAATTAGAATAGTCATCATTTCACAGTTACCATTTTTTATTTAAAAAACTTAACAAGTATACTTAGTAAATTTAAATATTGAATTACAGTATTGTTTACTGTAGTTACATGTCTGTACTTCTGATCTCTTGAACTTATCTCTTATGCATAACTGAAACTTTGTACCTTTTTAAAATTTTTTATTTAAGAAATTATTTTTTATTAGAGCATTATATTTATACGTAATAATTGTGTTCATCCTGGCAAAAATGTACATGCATGGAATTTGGTTTCAATACATGTTCCCCTGCTTTTTTTCCTCTCTTCTCTCCTCCCATTCTCCTTTTCATACTCTACTAATCTTTCTTTTGCTAATCTATTTTTTTAAATTTTTTATTGGCTCTTTCTACTTGTACATAAAGGTGAAATACCCTGTGGTCTATTTATATATGCACATAGCATGATTAAAAAAATCATTCCATATTTTATTCCCTTTCCTATTCCTCCTTTCTCCCTCTTGATGTTTCACTGTACTCATATTTCCCATATCTTCATGATATCTGATTCTCCCCTCCTTCTTTTTTATTATTTTGCTCTAGCTTCCACATATGAGAGAAAATTTTCAACTCTTGATTTTCTGAGACTGACCTATTTTAAATTAGCATAATGTTCTCCATTTCTATCCATTTTCCAGCAAACACCATTATTTCATTCTTCTTTAAGACTGAGTAAAACTCCATTGGGTATATATACCATAATTTCTTACTCCATTTATCTATTGATGCATCTGGGTTGATTTCATAATTGACTCTTGTGAATTGTGCTGCTATAAACATTGAAGTGGCTGTATTGATTAATTTTAGTTCTGTTAGATAAATGCCAAGAAGTGGGCTAGCTGGGTCATACACTGGTTCCATTCCTAGTTTTCTGAGGAATCTCCATACTGCTTTGTAGAGTATTTGCACAATTTATAGTCCCACCAGGAATGTATGAGTGTACCTTTTCTCTCACATCCTTGCTAGCATTTATTATTATTTGTATTTTTGATAATTACTATTCTGACTGGAGTGAGATGAAATCTTAGTGTAGTTTTGATTTGCATTCCCGTGATTGTTATGTTATGGCAAAATTGCAATAAATCACCGAGTTTATCTTAAAGCAGGAGATGGAAACCTTTTTCACGAGCTGGTGATCAGGATTCACCAGCTAGTGGTGCAAGGCGCAGGCTGCAAGTCTGCATCCTTCGACCCACTTTAGGGGTTTGAGTAAACCTTTTATACCATAAATAAAGCATGTCAGTACATTAATCATAAGTGGCTGTTGCTATGATTCAAGACCATAAACAAACATCAAGCTCTAAAATCATAAGCAGAAGGGGAAGTGAGTCAAAACAACCCTAGTTGAGTACAAGCTAAAGAATGGTTACTAACATCTAGACAATCATTCTCTGACTGGGTACTATGTCCAAGAAAAATGGGAACCAAAAAGAGAATAATTTTACATTGGATAAGAATTGCCATTTTGTGTTGCCAAACATGTTATGCTAAGCAACTATTGATGGGTACAGAGGCAGGGTGTTCCCATGGGAGAAGCATTTCTTACATGACATGCAGTATCAAGGTAAAATGGAGTGTTTGGTCATTGCCCATATAGCCTGGCACATAACAGTTAAGAGGTGTTTAATATTTTTTTTTCATATATTTGTTGGCCATTTGTGTTTTTTCTTTTGAGAAATGCCCATTTAGTTTTTTTGTCCATTTATTGATTGGGATTTTTTTTTGGTGTTTTTTTTTTTTTTCAGTTTTTTATATGTTCTGGATAATAATCCCCTGTCAGAGAAATAACTGGAAAAGATTTTATCCCGTCCTGTAGACTCTCTTTATGCTTTTAATTGTTTCTTTTGCTGTGCAGAAGCTTTTTAATTTGATAGCATCCCGCTTATTTATTTTTGGTTTTATTTCTTGAGCTTTAGGGGTCTTGTTAAGGAAGTCAGTGCCAGCATCAATATGATAGAGTTTTTACTCTGTTTTCTTCTAGCAATTGTAAGGTTTCTGGTCTAATTCCCAAGTCTTTGATCCATTTTGATTTGACTTTTGTGCAGGATCAGAGATAGGGATCTAGTTTCATTCATATATTATATATAGTAGTATGGCCATTTTGACAATGTTAATTATGCCTATCCAAGAATTTGGGAGCTCTTTCCTTTTTCTAAGGTCTTGTTGAATTTCTTTTTTCAGTGATCTATAATTTTCATTGTAGATACCTTTCATTTTCTTGGTTAGAGTAATATCCATTTTTTAAAGATTATTATGAATGAGAGGGGTTTCTTGATTTTTTTCTCAGTAAATCACTGTTGGAGTATAGGAAAGCTATTTATTTATGGGTGTTGATCTTGTATCTTGCTACTTTGATGAATTTGTCAGCTCTACAAATCTTGTTGTAGAGTATTTTGGGTCTTCTAGATAGAAAATCATGTCATCAGCAAACAGATAATTTAATAACTTCTTATTATATTTTTATCCCTTTAATTTTCTTCTCTTATCTGATTGCTCTGGCTAGAGTTTCAAGAACTATATTGAGTAGAAGTGGTGAGAGTGGACAACCTTATCTTGTTCTTGATTTTAGATAGAATGCTGTCATCTTCTCTCCATTAATTATGATGTTGGCTTTGTCATTTGGGTTTGTCATAGATGGTCTTTATATTGCTGAGATAAGTCACATCTATCTCTGTTATCTCTAGAATTTTTTACAAAAATGGGTGCTGGATTTTATTAGAGGCCTTTTCTGAATTTATTGAGATAATCATGGGATTCTTGTCCTTAATTCTATTTAGTGGTAAATTACATTTATTGATTTGCATATGTTGAATCAACTTTATATCCCTGAAATGGAATTCACTTGGTCATGATTTATTATCCTCTTGATGTATTTTTGAATGTGGTTTGCTAGGTCACATGTTAGGCACTTGCTTGAACAGTTCATCAATGTTAGCCATGATCTTTTGGGCTCCTAAAGCATTCTGCTGTCATATATAACTAATTAGAATAAATAAATGAGTATTAGAGATGAGGATGTAGTAAATTGCTTGCCTAACATGTGCAAGGCCTTGGATTCATTTCCTGGTACCACAATAAGCAAAGTAAATGGATATTGTTTTAAGCTGCTAGGTCTCTGATATTTTTTTAATGCAGGAATAAAAACCCAACAAAATAATGAAGGAAAAATAGGTTAATATATAGGCTGGTATTTTGGTATCTTCAGTTTAGACTACTTGAAAATACAGTAAAGTAATTTCTAATTGAAAAAACCTCATTTATTTGTTATGAACCTGACTCTTTATTACTTCTCACTAATAATGCAGAAAAAGTATAGTTTTTTTTGTATTATCTCTCTATTGTCTTTTTTTCAACAAAACTCTTGGTAACTCTTTCTTCCCCTGTATAATGTTTTGTGATATAAATGAATGAATGAATCAAAAGGAGTAGTAACCATAAACATTGCTTTTCACTGTACTCCTTTCTCTTTCCCTGAAACCTCACTAGGAAAACTTGTGAACTAGATAATAATGGAGGAAAAAACCCAAATAAAATATATTCTATATGAGGACATGGAGGAAGTGAAAAACAAATATGTTTCAAACCAAATATATTTCTCACTTGATAGGTTCAAAAAATGCTCCATTTGCGTGTTATGAAGAAATACAAGGTCAAACAGATAGGTTTGGGAACTGTGGTCTTCAAAACCGAAAATTTAAGTTCTGTGGATGGAGGTATGCTGTACAAATATTAATGACATTTTATATTCTATAAGTTTCCTTTTTTGTTTTTATTTCTCCTCAACCTCAAATCTCCAGGCCTGATGTCGATCTTGTTCTACAGGCTAAAATTTCATGTAATTTTTAAAACATTATATGTGGATGATCACTAAGCTCCTAAATATAATATAAAATCAAAATTCATTATACTCATTGTACCTTTCCTCTTCAGACTTACTCATCTTTTTTTCATAAAAATAGCATCCCCATTCACTTGTTTGCTTTCCCAAAATGAAGACTGCTAAATTAAGTCCAGTTTCTCCTGATTCTGAAGATCTAGCTCTTTGATGTTTTGGTCATGAGTTTATTTTAACAAAATATTTATTAGGTGCATACTATGTGCCAGATACTGTACATAGTTGTAGTAGGTAGCAAAGCATATTCCTAAGACATAGAATTTGTAAATTAGTAAACATTAGTTTTATGTTTCCTTGATTTGCTTATGCTGTTACTTTTGTTTAGAAATAACTTATTCATCCCAGATGGCATATTTCTTATGAATTTTTCCATAACTGCTAAGTGAGAATGATTCTTATATTAAATTTCTATATGCATTTGTTTTATTTGTAGAAGATTCAATGATATTTGTATCACATTTGATATCAGAATAAGAGGTTCTTAAATGTAGAGGTAACAGTTACTTACCACTCTATCCCTCTACACAGGGATAGAAAATGTTGCAGTGAATTGATTGTTTGACAGTAAATGCACATTAGACACAGTGAATTAACTACCATTAGGACCCATGATAGATAAGTTCAGATCAATGGATTTATACTTTTTTAACTTTCTAAATTCCAGCCCATTAAATTTTCTTTAAGCACATTGCCATAGCCATTTTTTTTAATTAAAGAAAGCCAATCCAAAGAATTTCTAATTAATGGCTAATGCCTAATAAGCATATCATTTTACTATGTTTGCAGGAATCTCATATGTGGAAGATTAATTTGTACTTATCCTTTTCGCACTCCTTACCATCGAGACAATGCTTCTGTGATTTATGCTTTTGTACGACAGAGTGTATGTATATCTGTGGACACTGGTGATACAGCAAAAGACCCATTTGAAGTCAGAAGTGGTGCTCATTGTGATACTGAGAGGGTAAATGATTTAACATAATTTTCAAAACTATATAGTCTTATTTATTAGTTTAATCAATATTTTATTGAGTTTTAAGTTTTCGTTTGCTAATTAGTGCAAGTAAACTAATTATTTGGAGAAGAAAAACAAAAAGGAGTTGTTATATATACCTTCATTGCCAAGGACTAGAGAGAAGTCTCAATACATTAAACGTTTAAAACAAATTTCTGGCTTTGGAAGAGGTTTTGTGAAAGTATTTCTTTGTAGGGAGTTGTACTGTGATTTAATGTTTAAAAGGTAATAATTTTCACAAATATTCTCATTTTTACTTTGGAAGCAAACTTAAATGCTACTTATGTTTGCTAAAATAACTTTGCTCTTTTTTTTTTGTTTTTTAAGAAAAAAGTATTATATTTAGGTCAGAAAACTACAACTTAGTGAAGTTGAGATTTCTACAAGTAATTGAGTTAAGAATATATCTTTATTCCTCTGGTTATTATATTCTAAAATAATTAACTATGGATTTTTATTACATTCCATTAAAGTAATATATTTTAATTAAAATATATATTATGTTATTAAATATTTAAAATTTTCTAATAATAGTTCATATTTTATGAAAACTATACACATGCCATAGTTATATTAAATTTATTTTCTTTCCATGAAAAATTTTGATACATGTAATAAGTACAAGGGTTTTTTTTTATTTTTTAATTTTTTTTATTGTTGGTTGTTCAAAACATTACATAGTTCTTGATATATCATATTTCACACTTTGATTCAAGTGGGTTATGAACTCCCATTTTTACCCCGTATACAAATTGCAGAATCACATCAGTTACACATCCATTGACTTACATATTGCCATACTAGTGTCTGTTGTATTCTGCTGCCTTTCCTATCCTCTACTATCCCCCATCCCCTCCCCTCCCCTCCCCTCTTCTCTCTCTACCCGCTCTACTGTCATTCATTTCTCCCCCTTGTATTATTTTCCCCTTTCCCCTCACTTCCTCTTGTATGAAATTTTGTATAACCCTGAGGGTCTCCTTCCATTTCCATGCAATTTCCCTTCTCTCTCCCTTTCCCTCCCACCTCTCATCCCAGTTTAATGTTAATCTTCTTCTCATGCTCTTCGTCCCTACTCTGTTCTTAGTTACTCTCCTTATATCAAAAAAGACATTTGGCATTTGTTTTTTAGGGATTGGCTAGCTTCACTTAGCATAATCTGCTCTAATGCCATCCATTTCCCTGCAAATTCTATGATTTTGTCATTTTTTAATGCAGAGTAATACTCCATTGTGTATAAATGCCACATTTTTTTTTATCCATTCGTCTATTGAAGGGCATCTAGGTTGGTTCCACAGTCTTGCTATTGTGAATTGTGCTGCTATGCACATCGATGTAGCAGTGTCCCTGTAGCATGCTCTTTTTAGGTCTTTAGGGAATAGACCGAGAAGGGGAATAGCTGGGTCAAATGGTGGTTCCATTCCCAGCTTTCCCAGAAATCTCCATACTGCTTTCCAAATTGGCTGCACCAATTTGCAGTCCCACCAGCAATGTACAAGTGTACCCTTTTCCCCACATCCTCGCCAGCACTTGTTGCTGTTTGACTTCATAATGGCTGCCAATCTTACTGGAGTGAGATGGTATCTTAGGGTGGTTTTGATTTGCATTTCTCTGACTGCTAGAGATGGTGAGCATTTTTTCATGTACTTGTTGATTGATTGTATGTCCCCCTCTGAGAAGTGTCTGTTCAGGTCCTTGGCCCATTTGTTGATTGGGTTATTTGTTATCTTATTGTCTAATTTTTTGAATTCTTTGTATACTCTAGATATTAGGGCTCTATCTGAAGTGTGAGGAGTAAATATTTGTTCCCAGGATGTAGGCTCCCTATTTACCTCTCTTATTGTTTCTTTTGCTGAGAAAACACTTTTTAGTTTGAGTAAGTCCCATTTGTTGATTCTAGTTATTAACTTTTGTGCTATGGGTGTCCTATTGAGGAATTTGGAGCCTGACCCCACAGTATGTAGATCGTAGCCAACTTTTTCTTCTATCAGACGGCGTGTCTCTGATTTGATATCAAGCTCCTTGATCCATTTTGAATTAACTTTTGTGCATGGTGAGAGAAAGGGATTCAGTTTCATTTTGTTGCATATGGATTTCCAGTTTTCCCAGCACCATTTGTTGAAGATGCTATCCTTCCTCCATTGCATGCTTTTAGCCCCTTTATCAAATATAAGATAGTTGTAGTTTTGTGGATTGGTCTCTGTGTCCTCTATTCTGTACCATTGGTCCACCCGCCTGTTTTGGTACCAGTACCATGCTGTTTTTGTTACTATTGCTCTGTAGTATAGTTTGAAGTCTGGTATCGCTATACCGCCTGATTCACACTTCCTGCTTAGCATTGTTTTTGCTATTCTGAGTCTTTTATTTTTCCATATGAATTTCATGATTGCTTTCTCTATTTCTACAAGAAATGCCGTTGGGATTTTGATTGGGATTGCGTTAAACCTATAGAGAACTTTTGGTAATATCGCCATTTTGATGATGTTAGTTCTGCCTATCCATGAACAGGGTATATTTTTCCATCTTCTAAGATCTTCTTCTATTTCTCTCTTTAGGGTTCTGTAGTTTTCATTGTATAAGTCTTTCACCTCTTTTGTTAGGTTGATTCCCAAGTATTTTATTTTTTTTGAGGATATTGTGAATGGAGTGGTTGTCCTCATTTCCATTTCAGAGGATTTGTCGCTGATATACAGGAATGCCTTTGATTTATGCGTGTTGATTTTATAGCCTGCCACTTTGCTGAATTCATTTATTAGCTCTAATAGTTTCTTTGTAGACCCTTTTGGGTCTGCTAGGTATAGAATCATGTCACCTGTAAATAGTGATAATTTAAGTTCTTCTTTTCCTATTTTTGTGCCTTTAATTTCTTTCATCTGTATAATTGCTCTGGCCAGTGTTTCGAGAACTATGTTGAACAGAAGTGGTGAGAGAGGGCATCCCTGTCTTGTTCCAGATTTTAGAGGGAATGCCTTCAGTTTTTCTCCATTCAGAATGATGCTAGCCTGAGGCTTAGCATAGATTGCTTTTACAATATTGAGGTATGTTCCTGTTATCCCTAGTTTTTCTAGAGTTTTGAACATAAAGGGATGCTGTACTTTGTCGAATGCTTTTTCCGCATCTATCGAGATGATCATATGGTTCTTATTTTTAAGTCTATTGATGTGGTGAATAACATTTATTGATTTCTGTATATTGAACCAGCCTTGCATCCCAGAGATGAATCCTACTTGATCATGGTGCACAATTTTTTTGATATGTTTTTCTATCCGATTCGCCAGAATTTTATTGAGGATTTTTGCATCTAGGTTCATTAGAGATATTGGTCTGCAGTTTTCTTTCTTTGAAGTGTCTTTGTCTGGTTTAGGAATCAGGGTGATGTTGGCCTCGTAGAATGAATTTGGAAGTTCTCCCTCTTTTTCTATTTCCTGAAGTAGCTTGAAAAGTATTGGTATTCGTTCCTCCTTAAAGGTTTTGTAAAACTCTGCTGTATACCCATCCGGTCCTGGGCTTTTCTTAGTTGGTAGTCTTTTGATGGTTTCTTCTATTTCCTCAATTGATATTGGTCTGTTTAGGTTGTCTATATCCTCCTGACTCAATCTGGGCAGATCATATGACTTAAGAAATTTATCGATGCCTTCACTATCTTCTAATTTATTGGAGTATAAGGATTCAAAATAATTTCTAATTATCTTCTGTATTTCTGAAGTGTCTGTTGTGATATTGCCTTTTTCATCCCGTATGCTAGTAATTTGAGTTCTCTCTCTTCTTCTCTTCGTTAGCATGGCAAAGGGTCTGTCGATTTTATTTATTTTTTCAAAGAACCAACTTTTAGTTTTGTCAATTTTTTCAATTGTTTCTTTTGTTTCGATTTCATTAATTTCAGCTCTGATTTTAATTATTTCTTGCCTTCTACTTCTCTTGCTGTTGCTTTGCTCTTCTTTTTCTAGGATTTTGAGATGAAGTATGAGATCATTTATTTGTTGGTTTTTCCTTTTTTTAAGGAATGAACTCCAAGCAATGAATTTTCCTCTTAGAACTGCTTTCAATGTGTCCCATAGATTCCAATATGTTGTGTCTGTGTTTTCATTTATCTCTAAGAATTTTAAAATTTCCTCCTTGATGTCTTCTATAACCCATTGATCATTCAGTAACCTATTGTTCATTCTCCAAGTGATGCATGATTTTTCCTTCCTTCTTTTATCGTTGATTTTCAGTTTCATTCCATTATGATCAGATAAGATGCATGGTATTATCTCTACTCCTTTATATTGTCTAAGAGTTGCCCTGTGACATAATATATGATCTATTTTTGAGAAGGATCCATGTGCTGCTGAGAAAAAAGTGTAACTGCTTGATGTTGGGTAGTATATTCTATATATGTCAATTAAGTCTAGGTTATTAATTGTGTTATTGAGTTCTATAGTTTCCTTATTCAACTTTTGTTTGGAAGATCTGTCCAGTGGTGAGAGAGGTGTGTTGAAGTCTCCCATGATTATTGTATGGTGGTCTATTAGACTCTTGAACTTGAGAAGAGTTTGTTTGATGAACATAGCTGCACCATTGTTTGGGGCATATATATTTATGATTGTTATGTCTTGTTGGTGTATGGTTCCCTTGAGCAGTATGTAGTGTCCCTCTTTATCCCTTTTGATTAACTTTGGCTTGAAATCTATTTTATTTGATATGAGTATGGACACTCCTGCTTGTTTCCGAAGTCCATATGAGTGATATGATTTTTCCCAACCTGTCACCTTCAGCCTATGTATGTCTTTTCCTATCAAATGCGACTCCTGTAGGCAGCATATTGTTGGGTCTTGTTTTGTGATCCATTCTACTAGCCTGTGTCTCTTAATTGGTGAGTTTAAGCCATTAACATTTAGGGTTATTATTGAGATATGGGTTGTTCTTCCAGCCATATTTGTTTATTTATGTTACTAAACATGGTTTGTTTTCCTCTTTGATTATTTTCCCCCCCTTTAGTGTCCTACCTCCCACTGTTGGTTTTCATTGTTATTTTCCATTTCCTCTTCCTGTAATGTTTTGCCGAGGATGTTTTGAAGAGATGGTTTTCTAGCTGCAAATTCTTTTAACTTTTGTTTATCGTGGAAGGTTTTAATTTCATCTTCCATCCTGAAGCTTAATTTCGCTGGAAACACAATTCTTGGTTGGAACCCATTTTCTTTCAGTGTTTGAAATATGTTATTCCAGGATCTTCTAGCTTTCAGAGTCTGTGTTGAAAGATCAGCTGTTATCCTGATTGGCTTACCCCTAAGTGTAATCTGCTTCCTTTCTCTTGTAGCTTTTAAAATTCTCTCCTTATTCTGTATGTTGGGCATCTTCATTATAATGTGTCTAGGTGTGGATCTCTTATGATTTTGCACATTCGGCGTCCTGTAGGCTTCTAGGATTTGGGATTCTGTCTCATTCTTCAAGTCTGGGAAGTTTTCTTGTATTATTTCATTGAATAGATTGTTCATTCCTTTGGTTTGAACCTCTATCCCTTCCTGTATCCCAATGACTCTTAAATTTGGTCTCTTGATGTTATCCCATATTTCTTGGATGTTCTGCTCATGGTTTCTTAACAGTCTTGCTGAGCTGTCTATGTTCTTTTCAAGTTGAAATACTTTGTCTTCATTGTCTGATGTTCTATCTTCTAAGTGTTCTACTCTGCTGGTAGTATTCTCAATTGAGCTTTTAAGTTGGTTTATTGCTTCCTGCATTTCTAGGATTTCTGTTTGTTTTTTATAACCTCTATCTCCCTGTATAGTTGATCTTTTGCTTCTTGAATTTGTTTATGTAATTCATTGTTGAAGTGATCTTTCATTGTCTGATTTTGCTGTCTGATGTCTTCCTTGAGACTCCAGGTCATCTGAAGCATGTATATCCTGAATTCTTTATCTGACATTCCATCTGCTGCAGATATTACCTCTTCTAACGTTGAGTTGACCTGCATTGCTTGTGGTCCTTTCTTTCCTTGTCTCTTCTTACTGTTCGCGTTTCTTTCTGCTTGGTGAAACTGTTGTGCTATTGAATTTTCCCCCTATATATTTATATTGCTCTTGTATAGTTGCAAAGTCTCCCTCGCAGGCGCGGGCGGCGGCTCTTCCCCTCCTCCAATTGGGGTGATGTGCCTACCACGCCAGCAGGCTGCTGGGCCTGTTCTGCCGGTCGGTAGCAGGTCCGCCTACCTTGCAGGTGCGGGCGGCGGCTCTGCCCCTCTGCGGGCCGCTGGGCCTGTTCTGCCGGTGGGTCGCAGGTCCGCCTACCTTGCAGGCGCGTGGTGGGGCGGCTCTACCCTTCCCCAGGCCGCTGGGCCTGTTCTGTCTGTCGGTTGCAGGTCTGGCCTGTTCTGTTGGTGGTCGCAGGTCCGCCTACCTTGCAGGCGCGTGTGGCGGCTCTGCCCCTCTGCGGGCCACTGGACTTGTTCTGTCGGTGGTCACAGTTCCGCCTACCTTGCAGGCGCAGGGGGAGGGGGCGGCTCTGCCCCTCAGCAGGCTGCTGCGCCTGTTCTGCCGGGGGTCGGAGGTCCGCCTACCTTGCAGGCGTGGTTGGCAGCTCTGCCTCTCCACGGGCCACTGGGCCTGTTCTGTCTGTCGGTTGCAGTTCTGGCCTGTTCTGTTGGTGGTCGCAGGTCCGCCTACCTTGCAGGCGCGTTGGGCAGAGCTGCGGGATTCTGGGCCTGTGCTGCCGGTGGGTCACAGGTCCGCCTACCTTGCAGGCGCGGGGGGCGGCTCTGCCCCTCCGCGGGCCGCTGGGCCTGTTCTGTCGGTGGTCACAGTTCCCTCTACCTTGCAGGCGCGGGGGGAGGGGGCGGCTCTGCCCCTTAGCAGGCCGCTGAGCCTGTTCTGTGGGTGGTCACAGTTCCGCTTACCTTGCAGGCGCGAGGTGAGGGGGCGGCTCTGCCCCTCAGCAGGCCGCAGCGCCTGTTCTGCCTGTGGGTTGCCGGTCCGCCTACCTTGGAGGCGTGGTTGGCAGCTCTGCCCCTCCGCGGGCCACTGGGCCTGTTCTGTCTGTGGTCACAGTTCCGCCTACCTTGCAGGCGCGGGGGGAGGGGGTGGCTCTGCCCCTCAGCCGGCCCCTGTGCCTGTTCTTGTTTTTTTTTTTTTTAAATTTGTGTACTCACAAAGAGTTTTGGTAGATTTCATAGAATTTTAATGAGATATGTTTTTCTCTGAGTATGATAATTTTGTTATGACCAATTTTGATTAATTAAAATCCCCTACTTTTTTTTTGCCCTGAATCATTTTTTAAATATAAATGTATATTTTTAGTTGTAAGTGGACACAATACCTTTATTTTATTTATTTATTTTTATGTGGTGCTGAGGATCCAACCCAGTTCCTCACATGGGCTAGGCACATGCTGTACCACTAAGCTACAACTCCAGCTCTGCCTTGAAACATTTAAAAAAGTATTTATTTAAAATAATCCGTTTTATATTTTAGTGCAGGTTAGATTCACAGAAAAATTTAGTGGAGGCAGAGAGCGTTCCCATATTCTTTTTGTATACTTTCCTCTGTACCCACTACCACACTAGAGCAATATATTTTTTACACTTGGTAAGCCTATATTGTCTCATCATTATCATCCAAAATCCATAGACTACATTGAAGTTACCTGGAAAATCCTCAAATACTTCAAATACTTGGTGATTAATCAGTGCAGTTCTAAGTATTATGTAGATCAAAGAAGAATTCTCAAGAGAAATTTTAAAATACTTAATACTAAATGAAAATGAAAATACAACTCATGAAAATTTGAGGAATGCTGCAAATTTATAGCAAAATTCAGATTTTGTTATGTAGTTAATTTTAATGCTATGATGGCTGGGCCCCTCCCTCAGAATTGGAAATCTCTTTGTTTGTGTTTGTTTTTTTTTTTTTTTAGATTTGTGTAAACCGTGTATGCGTGGAATCAAGAATGATTAAGGAAAGTGCAAAGACTTGTGCACAACGGTGCTCTGGACATGGAGTAAGTAATAAGTAAGCCCATGTTTCCTTGAATCACATCTCTCTTGGAAGCTTTTCAATGTCATTCATTAATTCATGTTTATTAGGTTCTGACTATGTGCCAGGCCCTTGTATATCTAGATTCAATTTGGAGCTAAATTGAGTAAACCCAGCAGCTATAATTAGTGTTAAAAAACACTTTGATTTGAACTGAATTGATGATGACCTAAAAAAGTATATTATTATAGTTGTGTACTTTTCAAAAGATGTTAAATATTTCAGTAAATACATAAACTTGTTCACAAAAGGAAGATAATTCCTGTGTCTTGTGAATATAAGTGGTCATGGGAAATTTGATTTTATCTCCTTTTAAAAATATGCTTGCTTTTGTAGAGCTTTAGTTTCATAGCAAAATTTAGTAGAAAGTGCAGAGATTTTTTGCATAGACCCTCTTTGACTCCATTTGTATACAACCTATCACAATTTCAACATCACAAACCACTGTGTAACATTTGTAAAATTGATTATGTACACTGATATATAATTATTACCAAGAGTTCATAGCTTACATTAGAGTTGACTCTCAGTGTTATATTTATATCTTTGAGTTTTTGATTAATATATAATTACATGTGTCCACTCGTATGAGCAGAGTATTTTTACTCCCCTAAAAAGCTTCTGAGCTCCATATATTCAATCTTCTCTTTCCTCTAACCCCAGGCAACCACCAATCTTTTTACTCTCTCTGTTATTTTATTTTTTTTGAGTATCAAGTTATTGGAATCATAAATTATGTAGGCTTTTCAAATTGCTTCTTTCACTTAGTGATATGCATTTGATATGCATTCTCCACTTTTTTTCTTTTCTGGAGGTCTTTTCTTTTTTTAGTAACTTAAAAAATGAATTAATTTTAAGAGTAGTTTCAGGTTCACAGCAAAATTGGATTAAGATACAGGTAGTTCCCATATAGTTTGTCCCTCAAACATGCCTAGCTCTCTTCATTTTCAGCATGCCTCACCAGAGTTGTACAATTCTTATAATGGATGAACCTACATGGATACACCATCATCACCCAAAGTCTGCAGTGTATATTAGGGTTCACTTTTTATTTTGTATGTCTTATGGATTTTGACAAGTGCATAATGACACTTGTATCCACCATTATATCATACAGAGTATTTTTACTACCTTAGAAGTCCTCTGACTTTTCTCTTAATCCTTCCCTCCAACTTAACTCCTGGAACCCAGTGAATTTTTTTCTCCATAGCTTTTCCATAATATCATATTCCTGGAGTCATACATTATGTAGACTTTTTAGATTGACTTAGTTAGTAATATGCATTTAAGATTCCTCTATATATTTTCATGCCTTGATAGCTCATTTCTTTTTAATGTGAAATAATGTTATTTAATGTGAAATAATGTTACTTTGTCTTGATATACTGCAGTTATTTATTCATTACCTGCTGAAAAACATTCTGGTTGCTTCTAAGTTTTAGCAATTATGAATAAAGCTGTTATAACTATTCTTGTTCAGGTTTTTGATGAAGAATATACATTTTCAACTCCTTTGTATAAAGGATTGCAACCAGAGAATCTTATGGTGGGAAGATGCCTAATATTGGAAGAGACTGTCAAAATGTCTTCCAACACAACTGCATAATTTCATGTTGCCCCACAACCTAGCCAGTATTTGATGTCAATGTTTTATAATTGGTCATTCTAGTGGTGTGCAGTGATACCCTATTATTATTTGAATTTACATTTCACTGATGGCATGTGGTGTAGATCATCTTTTCATGTAATTATTTGCCATCTGGATATCTTTTTTTGTGAGGTGTCTGGTACAGTCTTTTGCCCATTTTAAAATCAGGCTGTTTAGTTTCTTTTTATAGAGTGTTAAATGTCTTTTGTTTATTTTGAATACTAGTCCTGTATATGAATATGTCCTTTGTACATGTTTTATCCCCATTAGTGGCTTATCTTCTTGTTTCACTGACAGCATTTTTCAAAGAGGATATAAATTAATTTGTATTAATATTAATTATTAGATATTTCTTTCATATATTCCCTAAGATATGGAACAAGACAAAGATGTTCAGTTTTACTATTCTTATTCATTACAGTACTGAAAGTCTTATCCAGAGAAATTAGTCAGGAGAAAAATACATGATACATAAAAAATACTTAAAAGTTAGGAAGGGAGAAAGTCAAATTATCCTTGTTTTCAAATGATATGATTCTCCTTAGAGAAAAACTAAATATTTTACCAAAAGACTACCAGCATTGATAAATGAATTTTGTAAAGTTTCAGGATACAGTATTAATATAAAAAATCAGTAGTTTTTATATACCAATAATAAAGTTGCTGAGAAAGAAATTATGAAAAAAATTCCATTTACAATGGCTACAAAAAATAAATACCTGGGGATAAATTTAATTAAGGAAGTGAAAGACATCTACACTGAAATTTATAAAATACCCATGAAAGAAATTGAAGAAGACACACACAAATAAACACAAATGAAAAGACCTTCCATGGAACAATTAATATTGTTAAAATGTCCGTATTATTTGAAGCAATTTATACAAAATACCAATAACAAATCATAAAATTCATATGGAAGCCCAAAAGATCCCAAATAGCAAAAGCAATCTTGAGCAAAAGGAGCAAAGCTGCAGGGCATTCTGATGTCTGTATTCCAGATATACTACAGTGCTTTAGTAATCCAAAACAAAAGGGTACTGGGATAAAAATATTCACATAGACCATTGCAACTAAATAGGATTCCATGAGGCAACCCCATGCAGTTATAGTCAACTGATTCTTGACAAAGGTGTCAAGAAATACACTGAAGAAAACACAACCTCTTCAAACAATCCTGGTGGGAGAACTGTATATACATAAAGCAGAAGTTTGAAACTTGGCCCCTGTCTCTCAGCCCATATGAAAGTAAACTCAAAATGGATCATAGACCTAAATGTAAGACTGCTATCTTTGTTTTGTTTTTGTTGTTGTTTTTGCCTCCATTCTCTTCTCCATAATTGCTGTACTAATTTACATTCTTATCAACAACATACAAGAGTTCCTTTTTTTCTACACTGTTGCCAATGTGTGTGTGTGTGTGTGTGTGTGTGTGTCTGTGTCTGTGTCTTTTCAATAATAACCATTCTGCTTGGGATGAGATATTATGGTTCCAATTTGCATTTCTAAGATAACTAATGATATTGTGCATTTTCCTATATATTAGTTAGTTATTTGTATTCCTTCTCTTGAGAAGTATATATTAAGATCATGCAACCATTTAAAAGTTAAGTTGTTTTATATTTTGTAGTTGATTTTTTTTAGTTTCCTATATATTCTGAATATCAATCCTTTGTCAGATGAGTAGTTAACAAATATTTTCTTCATTTTTTTCACTCCATTTATTACTACCTTTGTTTTGAAAATGCTACTTAGTTTTAAATAATCTCACTGGATGGTTTTTGGCTTTCCTTGCCTGTGCTTTTGGATCTTGTGAAAAAAATCATTCCCTACATGGATGTTATTAAATGTTTTCCCCTAATAGTTTCATGATTTTAGGTCTTACATTTAGGTCTATTTATAACCTATGCAATGTTTGGCATGGTGGGCTCACCATGGCTGAGGCTCACATTCCAGACCACCTGGGGCCACCACTCTGCCTCCCTGGGACAAGGATTTAGCTTTAGAATCAACCTAAATGCCCATGATTAGATGAATAAAGAAAGTGTGGTATATACACACAATGGAGTATTATTTAGCCATACAAAGAATGAAATTCTGTACTTTGCAGCAAAATGGATGGAACTTTAGGACATGCTGAGAGAAATAAGGTAGGCACTAAAAGACATATAACCCATGTTCTCTCTCATGTAGATCTTTCAAAAAGTTGATCTGAATGTAGAATATGGATTAATAGTGACTGAGCGGAGTAGGGGGAAGGGAGAAGGGAGCGGGGGAAGGGAGTGGGGTAGGGAGAATCAGATAATGGGAACAAAATCAAAATTTCATAGGTTATAAATTTTAGTGTTCCAAAGCACAGTAGGGTGAATATAATCCACAATCACCTATTATATATTTTATGAAGAACTAGAAGAGAGGAACTTGAAGTCTCCAAGCATAAAGAAGTGATAAGGATATGGAAATTCTAATTTTCTTTATTCAATCTGTAAATACTATAAGCATTATTGAAATATCACCTCTAATCTATGAATACATATAATTGTTACATGTTAATAGAAAAAAATTATAAAAGGGCTTCCATTGACAAAATATGAGGCAATTTGGGCATTGTTATAAATAATGATTTTAATAGATTTTTGCTCATTGAATAAAGTAAAATAAATATGATTTTGTTTTAATAAATAAATAAAAATTTAATAAGTAAATGTATTACATGGTATTTACAGTAATATCATTTACTATTATTGATTATTGTTAATGACAGTAACTGCATAAATGAATGGGGAGGAAGGAAAAACTTTCCTTACAGTATAAGCAATATAGAAAGAATGGGGGGGTTAAAGAATTATCAGTGGATTCTAAAACTAGTGGGTGGAAATTTTATAAGGAGTGATATATTTACATAATCTTAAATTATTTCCTTATGTGTTAGTCAGCTTTTCATTGCTGTGACCCAAGTACCTGACAACAACAACTTAGAGAAGGAAAAGTTGGGCTTCATAGCTTCAAAGATTCAGTCCAAGATCAGCCAACTCCATTTTTCTGGACCTGACCTAAGGCAGAATGTCTTTGTGGAGGGTGGTGGAGGAGAAAAGCTGCTCAACTTATGACAGCTAGAAAGCAGAGAGGGAGAAAAGGGGCAGGGGGACGGGAATGAATGTGTGTGCATGAGAGAGTCAGAGAAAGACAGAGAAAGTTCATGCATGAAGGTATAACCCCAAGGGCAAAATAACCTCATAATTTGAAGAAACTATTGTGTGGAAATTGTAGGCAGCCATGCCCCAACAGCCTATAGTTACCACACAATAGTTTATTCAAATGATAAATCTGTCAAATGGATTAATCTCCTGATGACATTTTATTATTATTGCCCCAAAGCCCCACTTCTGAATCTTCCAAAACATGAGCTTTTTAAGATTAACTAAGTGACATGAGTGATGATGCAATACTGGAACAAACTGACATTAGAGGAACATCAGTTTTGTAAAGAGTTTCAGGGGAAAAGATTCATGTTCTTAGCTGTAATATTTAGATTCAATGTAAGACACCCCAAATTGAGAGATGTTTTATATTATTTTGAGAGGTAGCATAGTATAATGCTCAAGACTTTCTTAGTTTAAATGCTGGCTCTCTCCGTTAGTAGTAGTTTGACTTTTGGAAAGCTAAATATGTATGTCTCAGTTTCTTCATTTGTAATGTGGGAATGATAATAGTTCTTTTATGCTTTTAGATCTGAAATGTGTCCCCAGAAACTCATGTATTAGGAAATGTAGCAAAGTTCAGAGGTGAAAGATGGAATCATGAGGGCTCTGACTTCCTAAGCGCACTAATTCTTTTGATGGATTAATAATTGGATTACACTTAGTGGAAGGTAGTGAAAATGATAAGCAGGTGGAGCATAGTTGAAGGAAGTAGGTCACTGGAGACTTGGCCTTGGCACTGTATCTGTCCCTGACTGTTTCCTATTTCTCTCTGCTATCTTACAGGGCTGTTATGAGTATTTAATGAGTAAATCCATATAAAGTGCTCAGAATAGAGACTCACAGCTAGTAAGCACAATAAATGTGTTTGCTGTCGTCATTAATTATTTAATTAATTACATTTATTAATTAATTACATTAATTAAATACATTTAATTACATTTCTCAGTTACAGAAAAAAATCACTTCCTAAAGTTATACTATATCTAAGCATCTAGATGCTCAGATTACAAAATGCTTTTAATTAAAAATCAAGCAAATGCAGATAAAACAAAATCCTGTCCTGGTTAAGGGTAGTTTTAGGCCAGTAAATATTTAGCGTCCAGTCTGGGGAACAGTAAAGTACTTTATGTAGAGGCAAATGCCTCAAACTATCAACATAAATCACTGAATGTGGAAATGGGAATTGAGGCATACAATCAGGTTGGAGCTGATTTTAGCTTTCTCAAGTATATCACTGTAAAGGTAGCATTTCAATTAGAATTTAAGTAGTATGTGTTTTTGAAATTGCAAACTAAATTTGCAGATAAATATTTGAAGGTGCTGTATGTTCTTAGTCACTTTATAGTTCTTTTTTTTTTTATTCTCCTCCTCTTCCTGCTCTTCCTCCTCTTGCTCCTCTTCCTCCTCTTCCTCTTTCCTCCTCCTCTTCTTCTTTGGTGTGTATGTTTGAGTCTTTAAGAAACCAAACATTTATTTTGTACAATTATCTCTCTAAATAAATCACTATAGAAATCAAATTATGTTAGGTAAAGATGCAAAACTAAACATGATGATATATCTCATAATTTCACTTTCAATGCAAAAATATTTTTTAAAAAACATCCAAATTTTAAATAATGATCCTAGGTGTGCAATTCCCAAGGTGTGTGCAACTGTTCTGATGGTTACCTGCCTCCAGATTGCCAAACAAGTGCCAGAAGTGCTTTTGTGACTGTAAAATCAGGCAAGTACTCTCTCTTTAGATAAAATTTTCAAAATTTATTTTTTTTATCTTTTTTTTATTGGTTGTTCAAAACATTACAAAGCTCTTGACATATCATATTTCATACATTAGATTCAAGTGGGTTATGAACTCCCATTTTTACCCCAAATATTTTTTTAGTTGTAGTTGAACACGATACCTTTATTTTATTTATTTTTATGTGGTGCTGAGGATCGAACCCAGTGCCTCACACATGCTAGGCAAGTGCTCTGTCACTGACTGAGCCACAACCCCAGCCCTCAACCACAACCCCAGCCCTCTCAAAATTTCTTAACCTCACTAAACTAACATTAGATTTTTATCACTTGAAGCGATACTAACATTTTTAAGGTAATTTGAGTTTTCTCAAAGAATGTGATCCAAATATGCCTTCTTATTCTTTCTCTTTTTTATAATATTAAAATATCATAATTGAATCTGAATATCTTTGAAACTTTTTCCTTACTGATACTGATACCATTGACTTTCTCCTTTAGAATATTTTTCAGCTGGCCTCTATATGATTGAGATTTCAACTGTAAACAAATAGTATTTACTATATCTGGTACTATTACTATGTTTATGTTATAGAAGAAATGAAATAGAAGACAAAATTTTATTCCAAAGGAGTTTGTAGTTTAAATGAGAACAATCTGTAAATAGCAGCTTAAGAGTTTACAGAAGGGACACCAGCACAAATTTCAGTTTATTCTTTCTTTTATTGCCTGTCATTCATGTGTCCACTGAGTTAGCAAATACTTATCGAACTCTTAATATATACCAGATGTTGATCTAGGCACTGGGGATATATAGTGAGCAAAGCAAATCCCTCACGTGGTGCTGAGACTATGCTCAGTGCTTACACAAGTGTCAGAATTAGGGTTATGAATTGAAGTCTCCTAATTTTTATGCTAGCACCCTTTATTAGCACCACAATGACTTTACATATAAAATTACAGCCCTAATATCAAAAGCCAACAATCTACTAAATAAAAACTGAATATATACAAATACAGTGAGATTTTTTGATAATCCTGTCCTTAGAAAATATTGAAAGGATGCAAATTTGGATAACTTTGTGATTACACCATCTCATATTATTTATTATTGCATCCTTTGACCCACAACTAGATTTTGTTGTAGCTTCTGTACCATGTTGAAAACTCTGGAACCTTTTGGGAGTTTAGTTTACATTTTTAGAAAAACAGATTTTATATATATATATATATATATAGTATTATGTATATATTTGTAAGATACTATGTATATATATGTATATCTTTAAATATTATGATTCTATAATTGTTTTTCCATGCTCCTTGAGTAACAAAAATTCAGAATATTTTAATAAATTTGTTGCAACCTGAAAGTAAAATTGGATAGCCTAATTTTTAATGTACTTTTGTTTTTAGGTTCAGTCATGGAGAAAGCTTCTGGGAATACTATGAAGAACTGGCTTCTAGGTTTCTACATTGGTTCACCTATTCTCATCATAGTAAGCATAATAGTTGTGGTGTGGAAGGGAGTGAAAAAGTGGTTTTCCAAAGAAGAGGAATTCCTAAGTAGTGAGTAAGTTGAATTTGTGTTCTGAAGCTAACCTTTAGTAGCATTTGAATCTAATAATGTGTAAGGTAATATGAGCAGCAACAATTTGCGTTTTATCAGGATTTTGAGTCAATATCTCATTTAGTTGTGTGAGGTGTTTGTGAATTTTTCTTTTGAAAGATGCAGAGATTTGGGAGTATAGTTAAATAACTTGCCAAAGTCATTGCTCTGCCCTTAACTCCCACCCAGTTAATCCCATCAGGAGATTAATCCACTGATTGAGTTAAGACTCTTGTAACCCAATCAATCCAGGTTTTCTACAGGAGCATCACAAGTGTTTCTTAAAAATGTACATTTCTCATGTATCCTTCATCTATTTTTTTCCAATGACAATATCTTATATTAACATATTGCCTTTTCACAGCCAGAAAATTGGTATTGGTACAATACTATTAATAAAATTAAATACCTTATTGGCTGGTATTTACATGCATTCATTTGTGTCTGCAGAGTCTTACGAAATTTTATCATATGATTTGTTCACCAACACCACAATTATCACCATTCCTTTTTGAAATCCTACTTTTTAAATTCTAGGTTCAGTCTCTTTTCTCCACCTGGCTTTATTGAAATATGATTGACAATAAAATTATTTGTATTTAGGAGTATGACATTATGATTGGATATACATTTGCATTGTAAAATTATTACTACAATCAAGATAATTACACATCCATCACCTCATCTATTTACTCCTTTTTCTGTGTTTATGGGGGGAACACTCAAGATCTACTCTCAGTAAGTTTCAAGTATACTATACACCATAATTGTTTTTAAAAATTAAAAATAGCCACATAACATGACCATAAAATTAAGAAACACAAAAAGAAAGAAAATAAACTAATAAAGATGTATGCTTCTATTCCATTCCTCCACATATTTGGAATTTCTGATGTCCCAGTTTATAAACTTTGATTTTGCCTATCTCTTAAAATATTAATGTAGTTATTATTTTTAAATTTTTCAGTTTTCATTCCAAAGGTATAAAGAGTTTTATATTTTTCATTTATATTTTCGTAGCATTCTGAATTTGTCTGTGTGGTTACTCTTACCAGTGTATTTTATATGTGTATTCTTCTTACTCATTAACATCTTTCTCTTAAAGTTTGAAGAACTTCTCTTAGCATTTTTTTTTGTGGAAAGGTTTAATGGAGATACATTTTCTAAGGTCTGTCTGAGGATGTCTTTACATCTCCTTCATTTCTAAAGGATAGCTTTGATGGGTACAGTTTTAACTCTGTGGTTCTGTGAAATCTCATTCCATTTTTTCTTCTGGCTTGTGAAGTTTCTGCAAAGAAGTCTGCTAGCAGGTGAATTGGGACACCTCTATGTGTTGTGTTCTCTGTCTTGCTGCCTTTGGAATGTTTCTTCCATCTTTAACCTTTGAAAGCTTGATTATAGTGTGCCTTGGAGTAGGTTTGGTTGAGAATCAAACTGGTGACTTTTGACTTTCCTGTATCTTGATATATAATTTCTTCTGTGTGTGAGTTTTTTCTTATTATTTCTTCAAGTTTTCTTTTATTATTTCTTCAACATTCTCAAGTACCTCTGGAATGCCAAATAGTTAAACATTTGCTCTTAATGATGTCCCAAAGTTTCTGTATCTTTCTTTATTCATCTTCTTTCTTTTTTTCTTTTCCTACTAAGTATTTTTCAAAAAGGCTGTTTTTTGAGCACCCTAATTCTTCCTTCTGTTTGATCTACTCTGATATCATGCTTCTATCATATTTTAAATTTTGCTTAGTTTATGTTTTTAGCTTTCTGTTTGATTTTTAAAATTGCTTTCATCTCTTGTTAAGATTTCTCTGTTAGAGTATTGAATTGTATTAAGATCCTTGAGTTTCCTTAAAATAATAACCCTTTTTTTTGGTATGTGTTGTCGTTTGTACATTGAATCATTAGATATTTATTCCAGTTTTTTTGTAATGTGGCTTTGTACCTTACTTCCCCCAAAATTTATTTTCTGAGTTTGCAGATGCCTCTACTATTCAGCAGTAGATGGCACTGTGAATCCACAGTTGCTGTGATTCTGCTATTGTTGCTGTTTCATCACTAGAGGGTGCCCCAAGTTCAGGTGTGTTCCAAATGCACAGCTGATGTGTTTAGCATTAACTGGATGAGTAACTAAACAGGGCATCTTGGATGTGAATAATATTACAGTAAACATGAGAGTATATGTATCTCTTTGAGGCCATCATTTCCTTCGGATGTATGCACAGAAGTGGGATTACAGGAGGACATGGTAGTCTTATGTCTAATCTTCTGATCTGATCAACCTGTGGTTTTCCATAGCAGCTGCACCAATTTACATTTTCACCTATAGCTCACATGTGTTCCATTTTCTCTATGTTCTTGCCAACAATCATATTTATTCTCTTTCTGATTTTTTTCTCTCTCTCCTCTCTTTCTCTGATAGTAGTCATCCTAAAAGATGTGAGGTGGTATCTCATTAAGCTTTGATTTTCATTTCCAAAATTTTTACTGTTATTAAGCACTTTTTAATATATCTGTTGGCCATTTGTATATCTTCTTTAGGGAAGAAGAGTCTACTTAAATACTTTGTTCCTTATATTTTTTTGGAATTAACCCCTCTTCCAATATTTGAACCCTTTCCATATATTACATTTTAATTTGTTGATTGTTTTGTTTTCTATGCAGATTTTTTTTAAGTTCCACTTTATTTTTGCCTTATTGCCCAGGCTTTTGGTGTCATATCCAACAAATTATTGTGAAGTCAAATGTCAGATAGCTTTTGGTAGTGTGGTCATTTTAATAATATTGATTATTCTAATCCATGAATACAGCCTACCTTGCAGTTTATTTGTCTTCAATTTCTTTCATCAATTGTTTTATTTTTATTGATGTTGTAAATGGAATTGTTTTCTTAAATTTCTTTTTCAGAGAGTTTATTATATATAGAAATAAAACTGATTTTTGTATGTTGATTTTATATCCAACTTTAATTTGTTTATTATTTCTAATAGTTTTGGAGTGGAGTTTTAGGAACTTTCATATGTAAGATTATGTCATTTACAAACAGACAATTTTCCTTGTTTCTTTGCAATTTGGATGCTCTTTCTTTTTTTTTTTTTTTTGCTAATTCATTAGGGTAGTCTTTCTAGTACTATTTTGAATAGCAGTGAAGACAATAATTATTCTTGTTTGCTTCTTGATCATAGAGAAAATTCTGAAAGCTTTGCAATAAGTATGATATAACTGTGGGCTTCTAATATATGGCCATTATGATGTCAAGAACTATCCTTGATGGATATTTCAGTTATTTATAGTTTTAGCTGAAAAAAAGAAGCCACTTAGAACATTCAGGTATGAGTCTGTACATGGACATGCACTTTCTCTCTGTTGGTTGATACCCAGGAGTAGAATGGCTGGGTAATATGGAAGGTGTATGTTTAACTTCTAAAGAAAGAGCCAACAACATCATTCTAAATGGAGAAAAATTGAAGGCATTCCCTCTAAAAACTGGAACAAGATAGGGATGCTGTCACCACTTCTATTCAACATAGTTCTTGAAACACTGGCCAGAGCAATTAGACAGATGAAAGTGGTTCTCCATCCCCTTTCTACTCTAATATTCTTTCCCTGTGGTCTTCAGCTTTCTTGGCCTTCATATACTCAGCATTCTGTCACTTTAACCTAGTGAGACTGGTGGGAACTTGCCTGGGAATGTCCCTTGAAGTGCACTATGACATGGATATTGCCCAGCAGTAAAAGGGTCATTAGTAGGGCTCATTTTCTTTTCTTCCCTCAAAGTTCACCATACTGCATTGTATACTATCTAATGTCTGAAAATCCTTCTTTCATATGTTTTGTATGGATTTTCAGTTGTTTCAGGCAGGAGGGTAAATATAGTCTTTTTCTTCATCTTGGCGATAGATGGAAGTGTATGCCTTTATGATTTGTAAGTTCACTTTAACAGGTTATTTAAAATCTCTGTCTCATAAAGATTTTCTCAGATCACTTTTATTTTTCCAAGTCTTCCATCTCTACACTGTGCTAGACTTAAGGATTCTATTCCTACAAAGATCTCTATGGCGATTACATATGCTTTTGTATGAATTTTTTAAAAAATCATTTGTAGATCATAGTATATGAATTCATTGTTTTTCTCTGGTGTTATTAACTCCAAGTGGTATATAAATCATATAGTAGTATGAAATTATATAGTTGTGTTGTAGAAAAATAGATGTAGGTTATTTTATTTTTGCTTTTCTTAAGGCAAAAATATTTAAAATAATTGCTATGCCCAGGGTTTAAGAATTTGTAAGATTTTCCCTATTTACCTCTCTTATTGTTTCTCTTGCTGAGAACCTACATCCTGGGAACAAATCTTTACTCCTCACACTTCAGATAGAGCCCTAATATCCAGAATATACAAAGAACTCAAAAAATTAAACAACAAGATAACAAACAACCCTATCAACAAATGGGCGAAGGACCTGAACAGACACTTCTCAGAGGAGGACATACAATCTATCAATAAGTACATGAAAAAATGCTCACCATCTCTAGCAGTCAGAGAAATGCAAATCAAAACCACCCTAAGATACCATCTCACTCCAGTAAGATTGGCAGCCATTATGAAGTCAAGCAACAATAAGTGCTGGCGAGGATGTGGGGAAAAGGGTACACTTGTACATTGCTGGTGGAACTGCAAACTGGTGCGGCCAATATGGAAAGCAGTATGGAGATTCCTAGGAAAGCTGGGAATGGAACCACCATTTGACCCAGCTATCGCCCTTCTCGGTCTATTCCCTGAGGACCTTAAAAGAGCATACTATAGGGATACTGCCACATCAATGATCATGGCAGCACAATTCACAATAGCTAGACTTTGGAATCAACCCAGATGCCCTTCAATAGATGAATGGATTAAAAAACTGTGGCATTTATACACAATGGAGTATTACGCAGCACTAAAAAATGACAAAATCATGGATTTTGCAGGGAAATGGATGGCATTAGAGCAGATTATGCTAAGTGAAGCTAGCCAATACTTAAAAAACAAATGCCAAATGTCTTCTTTGATATAAAGAGAGCAACTAAGATCAGAACAGGGAAGAAGAGCATGAGGAAAAGATTAACATTAAACAGAGACGAGTGGGGGGAGAGAAAGGGAGAGAGAAGGGAAACTATGGAAATGGAAGGAGACCCTCATTGTTACACAAAATTACATATAAGAGTTTGTGAGGGGAAAGGGGAAAAAAAAAACAAGGGAGAGAATTAAACAACAGCAGATGGGGTAGAGAGGGAAGATGAGAGGGAAGGGGAGGGGGGATAGTAGGGGATAGGAAAGGTAGCAGAATACAACAGTCATTAATATGGTATTATGTAAAAATGTGGATGTGTAACCGATGTGATTCTGCAACTTGTATTTGGGGTAAAAAATGGGAGTTCATAACCCACTTGAATCAAATGTATGGAAGATGATATGTCATGAGCTGTGTAATGTTTTGAACAACCAATAAAAAAAAAAAAAGAATTTGTAAGATTTTGATCTGGGGGCCTGAAATTGTACTTTTTGTAGGCTTGAGATTCCCATTTCTCACTGTGGTATATATACACAATGTAGTATTACTTAGCCATAAAGAAGAATGACTTTATGATATTTGCCAGCAAATGGAAGGATCCAGAGACTATCTTGCTAAGTGAAGTAAGCTGGTACCCAAATAACAAAGGTAAAATGTTTTTTTTTTTCTGATAGATGGAAGCTAACCCACAATAAGGGGGTGGAGAGAGGAGGATGAGAAGAAGAGTAGATTAGACAATGGAGAATAGAGGGAAGGGAGGGAGGATAAGCAAAGGAACGACAGTGGAATGAATCTGACATGGTTTTCCCAATCACATATATGAAAACAACACAGTCAATCCCACCACCGTGTACATCTATAAGAATGGGACTCTAACTAGAATAAGATATATTCCATGCTTGCATAATTATATCAAAATGGATTCTGCTACATATATAACTAAACAAGAACCAATAAAAAAGAGCAAATTTAAAAAAAAAGAAAAGAAAAAGAGATTCCCATTTCTCTTATTGGTGCATTTTTCCATTGTATGGAAAATTTCCATTGTATGCACATTTTCCTGTTACATTCCCAAGGCCACTGGTCAGAATTTTTATTATTTCTATTTCATGGGTGACATGGCCTTTCCTGGCTGTCAGGAGAAATTAAAGGGTTTAAATAACAGCTTCTCCACCTTACAAAGGCCTGGGACCTCAAGTTCTCAACAGGGCTATCCAATCTCTAGTCCTAAAATGTATAACTGGATTAGATATTTCTGTAATCACTCAACCTTAGCTACTAGTTACCTGTAAGCTCTGTTTTATCATTTTTATTGACACAGGTGAAGTCTTGCTCTGTTGTTAACCTCAGTTATGTATTAAGTTTGTATGTATATATGTGTGCGCTTTCTCAACACTTCTGTATATGAGGATTGGAAAGGGGAAAAGGCTTTGCCAACCACCTCTACCAGATTGTCCAGAAATAGTATAGGTTTTAATTTTAAAAATGTTATCAATTCTTTAAAAATGAATAAAAGGTTAAAGTTGGGACATTAAGGTCAGAATCAGACATTCAGGATCAAATGTATAGAATGTATTTAGAAGTGATAAGGAAAGGGCCTGGGGTGTGCTTGGTTAGCATCCTCCAGGCCCTGGGTTAGATTTCCTGCTCTGCTGGAAACAAAACAAAACAAAATATGAGGAAAAGCATACCTTTGGTTTCTTGGTGCTTTCCTCATTGCAAGACTTGAAATTTGCACTCTTTGTGGATGAATATATGCACAAATAAAAATGTTATTTGCATCTTGTTTTCAGTGATCTTTGGACATCATTTTATTTATTGTTATTAGTCTTGTAAAAGACAAAATACTGATTATAAAATAGTCTGACTTTTATTCACAAAGTTGGTGAGCTTTCTTAGTACTAACTAAGACATTATTTCCATTTTTTTTAGATTCAAATCAGGAGGAAGCACTCATACATACCTCAGTAGGTACGTGAGTTAAAAGATACATGTTGAAAACCAAGAATGAATTGATAATTCAAAATTCCTAAATATTTTCTAACCACTTTGGTAAAGTAAGGCACTGAAAACTAGACTACTAATACATAGTAATTTAGTTTCTAATACATTAGTCCCTTAGTTAATAAATGTTCATTGAAAGTCTACTCTGTACAAACAAGGAATAAAATGGCTGATGAGCTGGGTGCGGTGGAACCACCTGTAATCCCAGCAGCTTGGTGGCTGAGACAGAAGAATCAGGAGTTCAAAGCCAGACCCAGCAAAAGAGAGGTGCTAAGCAACTCATTGAGACCCTGTCTCTAAATAAAATACAAAATAGGGCTGGGGATGTGGTTCAGTGGTCAAGTGCCCCTGAGTTCAATTCCCAGTACAAAAAAAAAAAAAAAAAAAGCCTGGTTGAACAGGAGATATGATATGTGCAATGAATAAATAAAAATAATACATAGTGTCCAGAAGTTACCCAATGTGTATGATATTAGTATAATCCTTAGGTAAATAAACCAATGCCTAAAGTTCAATAGACCATGAGGGAACTCATGAATCTTGATGTATAAATATCTATGACTAATTATATTGACTTAGCCCTTTTATTCTTTTTTAAAAAAAACCATCAACAAATAGCATTTTATATGCCTATTAATATTTTTTAACCATAAATTAATTTCTCATTGTTCTATGATAGGCCATGAACTGGGCTTAGTATTCTCTTTCATTGTGAAGACTCATGCATTTCTTCAAATTCAAAAAAGTCTTAGATTTTATCTCTTCAAATGCTAACTCTTATTTTTTTCAATCTCCTGTGTCTGAATTCCTTTTTCTTTTTAACTGTTTTTGTATGTGAGTGTGTGTGTGTGTGTGCGCGCGCACACGCGTGCGTGGAGGAGGAAATGGGGGCACTTCCCTAACTAATTTAATAATCAGGTTTTTTGTTTTTAAATTTTCATCTCTGTTGTTTCTTGTTTAATGGATTTTGGTTTCTTTTAAAATTCATATGGAAACCCCAAATGGGAAGTATTAATTAGTGTCTGGTATCTAAACATGGCAAAGGCCCTGAATGTTCCTTCTTCATCCAGTAGTCCAAAGCAATGTCCCTGATGCATCTCAATGTTTAGTGATGACAGCTTTTACTATGCCCATTTCATGAATGATGTGACTTTCCGTGGTGCCCAGGGTTAGAGAAGGTGGTCAGCTCCAGCTTTCCAGGCAGCCTCAACTTCTGATAAGTTGATGTGGTTCACATAGCTTATAAGTGGTTCACATAAATAGTTTACATATTCTGTATAAGCAAAAATAACCAACACAGTTTTGGCAACATTATCAATGCACAAATAACTGGGTTGGATGCAGAACCCAAATGGATCAGCAAGCTTTCCTTTATTCTGCAGAAGAGTCAATCAATCAGGCACTGGAGGGGCTCATTTTCTGATACGAAAATGGACACCGTTATAGAGGGGCTCTGAGTTTTATAGTTTACAATGAGGGTGGTTTAATTGCTGGCGACTAAAGCAGGACAATTTGATTTGGCCAGTCAAAAAAGAAGTTGTAAAAAGCCCCAAACTCATTGTCACTGGGAAAAGCTCCGAACTCTATGTTCACTGCTTGTCCTCCTTCTCCAGGATTCATTGTTTCCCAGAGCTTCACTGTTTGCTTTTCTCCTTCTAGGACTCATTGGCAATGGGAAAAGGGTAAAAGTGCAGGGTGCAGCATTTCAGGGTCCACCTCCTCCCTTCAGGACCCATTGTGGTTGGGAAGGGATGAATGTTTGCTTTTGGTGGAGATGTTGGGGGTGAACCTGGGAAGGGATGTGTAAGCAAAAATAACCAACAGTTACAGCACCATTATGATTGCATAAATAACTGCTCTTTTTCCTTGGGGCCATTTGTTACTGGGAAAGGATTTACTGGCAGAGGATTAATGATTGCAATGATTGCCTTTTTTTTCCCTATTCCTCCAGGTCAGACAGTTTTGGGGGGTTGTCATTTCTCCATCCTGGGGGTTGTCATTTTCCATATCCTTCACTCTGAAGGCATTCAGCTTTAGTGCTTTACATTTTCAATATCCTCCTTAAAAAATAAAAGAAGAAAAACAACAACAACAACTATCATTAGAGATATCCCTTTTTAAATTTTAGTTAGAACTTTGTATGTTTTTTAAAAAGTCTTTATTTTTTTATTTTTACCTTTTCTCATTTGTAATATAGGAGGGGAATTTGTCCTGTCTGCTTGATTGTAAATATAGGATAAAATATTAGGTTGGAACCTGAAAGTTATAACCAGATGTTCAAAAGCAACCATATACCCTATGTTGGAAGTGACAGGATATTGTTTTTCTTGCTCTTCTTCCTAGTTGGGGATTTGAATTTATATTCTTTATGGACATGATATAAGGGTAAATAAGAATTTTACTTATTTATATATCCTAATTTAATAACCCTTTAAAATTCTTCATTAATGGTGTTCAGTGGTGTCCTGTAGGTTAATGAAGGTTACAAAATGGTCTGACATTCATTCATTATGGAGGTGTTTTTTTTAAAGCATTAATTTGGAAGCATTGTTTTCTCTCTCATTTAGATCCAGAACAGAAAGCAGCAGCCAAATGGATACTAGCAAGTAAGTAAATTAAGAGGTATCTCTTACAATAAGTTTGTGTTAAAAATCAAGATGAACAAATTGATGATCAACAGTTAATTTAAGGTAATGACAATTGAAGAAGCATGATTAACCAAGTACCACATCCAAAAGCAACCTTCTGGTATTTGCCAATCTGGTAACTAGAAAGTGTTTGTTTAAATAAATAAATCCCTTCTTTCTTTTGGTTTAATGTGTGTTGGAAATTTATTCTTTGGAACTAGGAGAATAAATGTTTGGTGAAATGCTTAAGGAACTAACATATAATAAACAGAAGTTTAAAAAGTTGTTATCTTAGAGTATGCAAAGGGGAAGATTGCTTCTTTATATGGAGACTGTACAGCTAGAAACTCTACACATAGGCTAATGAACAACTGGGGTGAATGCCTGTCCAGGTCATTTGCAATGAATTTGCTGAAGAAAAATATCCTAAAGCAACAAGACAACTATTACAAAGTAGTTTTAACTAGACCCCACCATTCCCTGAAAGGTAGATGTTTTTGTATAATAGTGCAATAACTGTTGTGGGTTTTGGGGTCTTTCTTCATGCATAAGATGTTTTGGAATTTTCACTCCTTTCACTTGTTGTCTTTGTTTATACATATAGGATGTTGGTGTTATTCTTTCTAGTTCTTTCAAGTCTAGTACTATTCCAAAACACATCCAAGTCCACAGGGTCAACTTTCTAGGATACACAGAAAGATTGTATGATTCTGTTTATTGTAGAAGGAGTTTCCCTCTTCAATATGAGGGAAACTTCTGCTTTTCTTATTCTTAATCTCTTGTTATTATGATCTTTTCCTTTGGAGCTATGAATTAGTCTCATCCAAATGAAAAAGTTGATTTTGTGTATGATGTCTTCTTTTGCTATTGTGACCAAGGGAGTTATCATATAGTACTCAAACACAGCAAGTCTTAATTACCTTTTCCTTACTGAGGATATATGTCTTTTTATGTTCTGTAATCTCAGACAATAAAGGCCAGATTTATCTTGCTAAGTATTGCATAACCAACATGTAGCAGAATACTTGACATATAGTAAATTATCAATAAAACAAAAACATAGAAATAAGTTTTATAAACCGATCTGTATACACATGTACACGTACACCCATCCATATATATGTCTGTAGTGTTGTACCTTTCCCAGTTTCTCTCTTTATATTACTTCTCCTCCTGAAATCTTTTTGGGGACCAGGGATTGAACTCAGGGACATGAAACTACTGAGCCACATCTCCATCCCTAATCGTGTATTTTATTTTGAGATAGGGCCTCACTGAGTTGCTTAGTGCCCCTTTTGCTGAGGCTGGCTTTGAACTCGCTATCCCCCTGCCTCAGCCTCCCAAACCTCTGGGATTACAGGCATAAGTCACCACAGCCCAGCTCCTCCTGAAATCTTGTTAACATAATCTTTCTTAGAATCATCATTCATCTGTATTGAATGAGGGATGATTGCATCACCTACAGGAAAATGCATGTTTCAATTCAAATAGCTTAATTTTGTAATGTTAATCCTCTGGTTTACCCTTCTGGCATAATGTGCACTAGGGTAACACTTTTAGGATGAGTATTCATTGAAATTTTAGGTCACTTATCTTTGGAATAATCTTCTACAGGCAGAAAGTTAGTGGGAAAGGATACTGAAGCCAAAGACAGCAGAGAGACAGGATGAATCTCATTATGAGTACCACTTTAGTATAACTAAGTTTTAAATGCCTACATTCCATCAATATAGCCAGTCTTTCCCTAAACAACAGAAGGATCTTAGACTATTTAACAGCCAATTCTAATTATTAACCTTCCCATATTATTGTCATTTAGTTTCTTTCAGATTTTTAACCTATAGAATTCTACACTCCATTAGTCCCTGTTGTCATTATCATTTTTTATGTTAAATGAATGTTTAGAAGAGTTTTAAAGCCCATTTATCAACTCTTTTGCTCATTATTCATTCTTGAATCTCTTTATTTTTCTTTCTGGCTTCAATGTCCTTTTTCTTGAAGTACTACTCTTTTAGTTTGAGCTAATCTCTGTGTTACAAAGCATTTTGTGTTAAATGGCTGAGCATGATTTGTATTTATATTTATTTTTGAATGATCATTTATGTGGTTACAGACAGCTAGTTGAGAATCGCTTTCCTGAAACATGAAAAAAATACTCTGTTGTAATATGCCACTTACTGTCATTGATTAGTTTTCTGTTGTCAGTCTGATTAAATTACTCATTCCCTTATTCCCTTACTTCCTATTAATGAGTGTTTTTTTCTAGGTAGTTTCTAAGGTTTCATCCATGCCTTAAATGTTTTATTTTATTATTATTATATACTTTGATATTTTTTTATC